TCTCGTCCAAGGCCTCATTTTTGCTACTCATGTCTCTAATCATTCCCAGCTCGCGGACATTTTCACCAAAGCCTTGGGCAAGCGCGAGTTTGATTTCTTCCTTGGCAAGTTGGGCATTCGAAATCTGCATGCTCCAACTTGAGGGGGGGTGTTACCGTGCATATTTATGTCCATATCTTGTATATTATTAGAGGATATATTCTAGAGATAAATAAGATCTTGTGATTAGGTAGTTTCCATATTCTTCATGTAATTGTGGTTATATATTTTGGGGCTAATGAGTATTCAAGATTATCACGATTTGGGGATGAATCGGTTTTCCCAATATTCTCTTGTCAACCTTTGATCTGAATTCAGTTGTTTAGCCGATTCATTCGTCTAGTTAATCGTTTGTAAATATTATTGTTAAAAAATCTTATCATTAATAAAAAGCACAAATCAAGAGAAAATTTTGTGCCAACAAATGGTACATAAATATTCTTTATTTGTGTGGATGCAAAATGTGGACAAATTGAAAGAACTTCGTACAACAAATGCAAAGCATAAACACACCTATATGCGATGTACATAAGGATTCAATTGCTAACACGTGAATTATGAAAAATAGTGTAAATGTTTTACATAGTTCTCACGTCACGCACCCGAAAAGCTACGGGTACATTTATAAATAATTTTGTAAAAATAGTGTAAATGTTTTATTTCTTTTTGTTTTAAATACCTAAACTAAATAATCATCTTCTAAATTATTAAGGGCGATTGTTTATAGTTTCAAAAGTAAAAAAATCAATTAAAACTCAAATTTAACTCAACTTTAATCCAATTTCACTATCTCTCATATTATCAATATAATTAAATAATATCAACCAATCATTTTTATGCATCACATCAATTTTAATTCATTATTCGTCACTCACATAATTTTAACTAACTATCAATTCTAATCATTTTTCTCTTACTTTACATCAAATCAACTTTAATTATTTTATTTAAATATTATTTTAATACAT